TAACCAGAATCTGTAGAAAATCAGAGATTATCTATTTACTTGTTTTTTGTTTTGTTTTGGTTTTTTTTGTGTGTGTGTGTATGTCTTTTTGAAACATGGTCTCCCTGTAGCCCCAGCTGGCCTGGAACTCACTACGTAGACCAGGCTGGCTTTGAACTCACAGAGATCCGCCTGCTTCTGCCTCCCAAGTACTGGAATTAAGGGGTGTGCTACCTCGCCCAGTTCTATTTACTTGTTTTTTTTTTAATTTTCTTTTAATTTAATTATTTATTTTGAGACAGGATTTCACTATGAAGACCAGAGATCCACCTGCCTCTACCTCCTGAGTGTTGGGACTAAAGGCATGCCCCACCTTGGCCTTATACTTTTTAATTTAATTTTTTTTTTTTTGGTCTTTTTGAGACAGGGTCTCCCTGTAGCCCCTGCTGTCCTGGAACTCACTATGTAGACCAGGCTGGTCTCAAACTCACAGAGATCTGCCTGCTTCTGCCTCTCAAGTGCTGGGACTAAAGATGTGAGCCACCACGCCGGGCTATTTTTTTTTTTTTTTTTTTGTCTTTTTTGAAGCAGGGTATCCCTGTAGCCCCAGCTGTCCTGGAACTCACTATGTAGACCAGGCTGGCCTCGAACTCACAAAGATCTGCCTGCCTCTGCCTCCCAAGTGCTGGGATTAAAGGTGTGCACCACCACACCCGGTAACTTTTTAATTTTTTAAAAAAAGATTTATTTATTTTTAGGGGCTGGAGAGATGGCTCAGTGGTTAAGAGCAGTGGTTACTCTTGCAAGAGGACCTGGGTTCAATTCCCAGCACCCACATGGTGGTTAACAACAGTCCATAACTCCAATTTCAGGGAATCCAATGCCCTCTTCTGACTGCCACGGGCACTTCATGACATGGGTGCACTCACATACATGCAGACAATGCACTCAAGCACATAAAAATAATAAATAAAATATTTTAAAAGATTTATTTTTAATTTTTATTTTCATTATTTGTGTGTGTGTATGTGTGTGTGTGTGTGGGTGTGTGTTGTGTGTGTGTGTGTGTGTGTGTGTATTCAGAGCCAGAGTTATCAGATCCCCTGGAGCTTGAGTTACAAACAGTTTTGAGCTACCTGGCATGGGTACTAGGAACTGAACTCAGATCCTCTGCAAGAGTAGTACGCAGTCTTTATTGCTGAAGCCATTTCTCCAGCCCCAGCATGGACTTCTTTACATGATGTTGAAAATATTCTAAGAGGGGCGGGGGGCTGGAGAGATGGCTCAGTGGTTAAGAACACTGACTGTTCTTGCAGAAGACCCAGGTTCAGATCCTAGCACCCACATGGCAGCTAACAACTGTCAGTAACTCCAGTTCCAGGGGATTTGACAGCCTTTTCTATCCTCTGCGGGCATTGCACGACACCAGTGCACGTACCTACATGCAGGCATAACACTCATACACATAAAATAAAAATAATAAATAACAATTTTTGGGGGGTCTTTTTAAGACAGGGTCTCCCTGCAGCCCCAGCTGTCCTGGAACTGACTATGTAGACCAGGCTGGCCTTGAACTCACAGAGATCCGCCTGCCTCTGCCTCTGGAGTGAATAAAAAATATTAAAAAAAAAAGAAAAGAAAATATTCTAAGGGGACCTAGGGGCAGGCTCCAAGATCTATGGAGACCTATACTATAGAAACTCACATAAGGTGATTTCCATCACATTCTATTAGGCAAAGCAAGTCATATTCAAATGGGTCACCTCTTGCTGAGGAGCAGCAAAGTCATTGGAAAGGGTCATATAGGACAGAAGGTAGAATAGTGACCTTCCTTACAATCTACTATGCTTGTTGTTGCACTGAATCATCAAGAAGTAGGAACAATTCCCAGCACCAAAAAAGAAGAAAAAGCATCAAGAATTAGAAAGAAGTGGGAGTGAAGAGAAAGACAGTAAGCCAGGTGCTGAAATCTTCCCAGAATGAGGGGGAGGCAAGCGATGCCATTTGATGCCATCAACTGCAAAAGCTTCCACTATCTTTATAGTTTTATCAGTGAATTTTAATATATTTCATCAATGAAAAGGAACCATTCATTCCTCACAACTTCTTTGGCTCTGTCACTCATCAGTGAAATTTTGTTGTAAGGATGAAGGTGTTGTTTGGTGGTGGAGTGTTTGTCTAGTGTGCATAAGGATCGATCCCCAGGTCTGGAAAAAAAAAAGTAGTGCTAGTATTATCAGGGATCTATATTTCCAATGCCTAGGATGACATCTGATGCCTGGTATTAACACACAGGTGCTTGATACATATTTGTGAATGAATCATAGTGATACAAAAAAATGTAAGCATAATTTATGTGGCCAACATTCAGGGCTATGTTAAGTAAATTATATTGTGCCTATTGAATGGACTATTATACAATCATTGAAGGTTATGCTTTTGAAACGAGTCAATATATGATGTATGGTTAAAAAAAAGAAACATGGCCGGGCATGGTGGTGCACGCCTTTAATCCCAGCACTCGGGAGGCAGAGGCAGGCGGATCTCTGTGAGTTCAAGGCCAGCCTGGTCTACATAGTGAGTTCCAGGACAGCTGGGGCTACAGGGAGACCCTGTCTCAAAAAG